TGAAGTCAGTTTTAAATGTTTGTGCTCTCTGACCCAGTAGGTCTTAACATAAATTCTTTTTTTTAATATTTATTTTTTAGGTGTAGATGGACACAAAACAATGCTTTTATTTTTATATGGTGCTGAGAATTGAACCCAGGTCCYGCCCGTGCTAGGCAAGCACTCTACCGCTGAGCCACAGTCCCAGCCCCTTGACATAAATTCTTTAAAGTATTTATACAAGGACGAAGATTTATATTTAAAAATTCAATTGTACTATTATGAATTGGTGACAAACTGAAAACTTAACTCTGAAGGTGGTATAAAAGCACCCTCAGATATAGCAGGAAAATTAACTGTCACTGAAGATAAGGGAACTGAAACTCTTTARTATTTTAAGTTGCTAAGTGTCTCGAACATGCATAATATTTGGTTGTGTGCAGTTGACTAAGGAAGTCATAAGAAAGGGAAAACAGCCCCACCTCAAACAACAGTGCTGTTTGGCTCTTAAGAGCCAAAATATCTGTATTTTCCACAGGGCACATCCATATCTGTTGAAAGAAGGATACACACTGATTTTTTGTGAATATGGTTTAGAACATACCCAAGTCTGGCTCCTTTCTCTACCATCTGTCATATGACCTTGGACAAATGACTTAACTTCTCCAATTCATTTTCTCATCTCTTAAATGAAAATGTCRATAGTTTGTATCAGTTATTAGTCATGAGGTACAAATGAGTTCAGGCACAGTACCTGAAACAACAAACTCAACAGATCTTCTCACACAGTTGCCACATACCCTGCTCCCTCATCAGTTATTCCCCTCTTAACCTCAATTTTAGCTCAGTGTTCTTTTTACCCATTTTTCACTATTCATTAAAAAACACAAAGCTAGCATTCAAAAGTGCCATGAATGTCTTAATTGGAATTCTRGTGGTACAGAATAACTGGAATTCTATGTAGACTAAACAAGATGACAATTTGATAATTATTGATTTAAAATGTTCAAACCCAGTAGTTCTTAATCTGTATCATGGAGGTGTTTGAACAAGGGCACAAAAATTTGTCTACAAAGAATCAGTTGAGGGCTGGGATGGTGTTTCAGTGGTAGAGCAAGTGCCTGGCATGTGCAAGGCCCTGGRTTTGATTAAAAAAAAAAGATGGACATGGGGCTGGGGATGTGGCTCAAGCGGTAGTGCGCTCGCCTGGCATGCGTGCGCCCAGGTTCAATCCTCAGCACCACATACAAACAAAGAACTAAAAAATAAATATTAATAAATTCTCTCTCTCTCTGTCTCAAAAAAAAAAGAAAAAAAAAGATGGACACAATACCTTTATTATCTATCTACAACTAAAATAAATAAAAAGATTCAGCCAGATGCTGTGGGATCCAGCAGCTGGGGTGGCTGAGGCAGCAGGAGTTCAAAGCCAGCCTCTGCAAAAGTGAGGCACTAAGCAACTCAGTGAGACCCTGACTCTAAATAAAATACAAAACAGGGCTGGGGATGTGGCTCAGTGGTCGAGTGCCCCTGAGTTCAATCCCTGGCAAGTAAAAAATAAACAGATAGATAGATAGTCTCCAATTTTCATGTTTCAACCGAATCTATGTGCATTTGCCTTTAGGGCTGAGATAAATTGGGTGAGGTATATCTATTCAAGAGAATACTCTATTGGAAGAGTGAAATAGTGACATAGGAAGATATTAAAAGTATCTGATCAATGTAGACAAGCAATTAGAACATACTATTTGTACTCTGCCCATTTGTTTCTTTATAGTGTCAGTACTTTTTGTCTGCCCATTAAACGTGCCTGTCTGCTTCTAGTTTCCATGTCTGTCTGCTAACTAGGATTTTGTCATTCTTCCTGAGCATTTGGCTTGAAAGAACTAACTAGTGAAACTATTTAGACTTGGCACTTTATTTAGATAACTGATTGATTGTGAAGTTATGTAATTTGGTCAGCTTACTTTTTTCTGACTTAAATTCCTAACATATTTTTGCTATCTTAATGTTCATTTGCATACTGTTGTACTTTAAATTTGTCTAGGTATCATCTGTATCACTTCCTATATTGCATTTCCATTTTATTGGGTTTGTAGGCAAAAGTCAGTCCTTGTATTCAAAGAAAAGCCCTTTTATTGTTTCTATAGTGTTAACTAATTTATTTTTGATACTGGAGATTGAACCTGGGGGCGTTTTACCACTGAGCTACATCCTCGGTCCTTTTTATTTGGAGACAAGGTGAGGCAGGCCATATTTGCAGTCTTCGGTCTCAGCCTCCAGAGTCACTGGAATTATAGTTATGCTCTACCATGGCCCAATAAATTTTTAATCTTTTTGTTCAGCAGAAAGAAATTTAAAGACTTACTTTTTTTTTTTAATTTAAACATGTAACTGAACCTTTCCTTTAAACTTAAGATGATACAGTAGTTGAGATTTTTCTTGAAAATTTTTTAAAAATAACAAGGTTCTGCTGGGTGTCATGGTGCATGCCTATAATTCCAGTAGCTCAGGAGGCTGAGGCAGATTCAAAGCCAGCATGAGCAACTTAGTGAGGCCCTAAGCAATTTGGCAAGACYCTGTCTCCAATAACACAAAAATAGAAACAAAGACTGGAGGTGTGTCTCAGTGATTAAGCGCCCCTAGGTTTGTTCCTTGGTACAAACAAAATGAATAACAAGATTCTGACCCAACAATTGTCCATATAGGACTAATTTTTATCCATAAATGTTAGATGGAAGTCTAAAGAAAAGGAAAATGATTCTCAGATTTAAATCCACATGGTTCAAATTCTTACCAAGTAGCATGTATAGATTGTGACATAGAATAAATAAGCTCCGAAAAGTCTTTGTGGAGGGATAAGTCGGACAGCTTATTCATCTTTATGAGGGGTTCTGCAGTTGATTATCAGTCTCTCTTATAGTGTTTGTGATGCCTTGCTCTCTGCCTTCACTCTGCTTACAAAAAGAATATGGAGCCATTAATGCCAGTAATAATTTTTTTTGTGGTAAGAGTGATGGTGTCCTTTGGTAGATCAACATTTAGTGGCACAAAATTTGTTTCCACACCCAATAAAAATGTCAGAGCCTTGTGTTGCAAATTTCTGATTTTGAAAAATTTTCTAAAATAATCAAATTGCAAATATTTCCCTGGTTTGAGCAAAACTGTTGGCATACTTTTTGTTCAAGGCATTAGAAATTTGAGAAGTGTTTCGGTTTAAATATTAGAAATTAGAAACATTTTATGGCAGTGTATGTTGGTGTATATTTTACAGTATTGATGGATTGACTTCAGTGCTTGGGAAATAAATTCATACGTCCTTTAGAATGGGAATAAGAAGATTCAACAGATAATTCTGAAATGTTTTTACGTAGTCATTCACATGTAAATTTCTTATTACAAGCATCTTTAGAAATGTTAGCTTATTAGGTATATATATTTATTTTTTCCTCTCTCTTTTTAATATTTATTTTTAGGTGTAGGTGGACACAACACAATGCCTTTATTTTTATGTGGTGCTGAGGATCAAATCCTGGTCCCGCCCATGCTAGACGAGCACTCTACCACSGAGCCACACAATCCCAGCTCCCGGATATATATAGTTTTTTAAATAAATGCATATTTTGCTTTACTTGGCATATCCTATTGTGGCTCATCTTAAAAATATTTCTTGTAATACTTTTCTTGGAATTATCCTTGGAAGTGTTTTTCTTACTAAGATAAGTAAACAAGTATAAACTGTATAAATATGAGTATGGCTTCTATACTTTACAACTTTTAAGTTCATTGGTAACATTACTGAACCTCTAATTGGCATTTTAAAGAATCTAGTCACTGAATGTTTTGTTTTGCTTTCGAGAATGGCTCTGTTAAAGGGCACAGGTGGCTTTAGGTGTAGGAATGAGTATTCAGATGAAATCCATATAAACACGGCCTTACAAGAGTTAGCCTTCAGAACGTTTTCTAATTCACTTATATATAAAAATGCAAGGGAAGACAGAAATAGAAGGAATAAGGAATTATATGGGAAAGTAATTACAGCATTTTACCACTAAGGTGAATTAGTCCTCTTCTAATCCTGTCCTCTGCTAGTGTAATGAGAATGGAATGACATTGGTTGTTTTCTCATGATTTAGTTCTTTATGATGAGACCTGGGTGTTTTTCTTAGAGGAGAGTTCACCATGTATTTAAGAAGTGAAACCTACACAGATGAGGTGTGGAGTTGGCATCTTTGAATGCTGCTGTGTTGCTCTACAGTCCAGAATTTCTTTTACTTATCAAGAAACTACCTTGGGAGCTGGGGTTGTGGCTTAGCAGTAGAGTGCTCACCTAGCATGTGCGAGGCCCTGGGTTCGATCCTCAGCACCACATAAAAATAAATAAATAAAATAAGTGTATTGTGTCCAACTACAACTAAAAAAAAATAAAGACTAAAAAAAAAAGAAATTACTTTGGATATAGTGGTTGGAAGATTGTTGGTTTTAAGGCAATATTATTTCTTTAATGTTTGTTTAAACTTTATAATGTCTGTGTATCATTTAAATCTATAACTCTGTGACATCTTAAATTTTCAGAAAATCATGTATAGAACCAGGTGCAATGGCGCAAGCCTCTAATCCCAGTGGTAGGGGAGGCTGAGGCAGCCTCACAAAAGCGAGGTGCTAAGCAACTCAGACACTGTTTCTAAAATACAAAATAGGGCTGGGGATGTGGCTCAGTGGTCGAGTGCCCCTGAGTTTAATCCCTGGTACTTTAAAAAAAAAAAAATCATGTACAGAAAAGTGGAATTTGAAATACAAATGGTTTCAGAATGAATATAAGACCTTCTTGACTTGTGGGATAAATTCTTGTCAACTTGTTTTGATAGTTTCTCCTCCTCTCTAACCTTTCTAATACCTGTACTGTATGTGAGAATGTGCTCATGCCAAAGCTGATGATTAAAAGCCAAAACCCAAAACAAAACAAACCCCCCTGATTTGTAGCAAATAAACATGTACTTTCTGGCTTTCTTTTCTATCAGCAATCAGAAACGGAGACTGTACATCTGTTTATCCCAGCTCTTTCAGTCGGCGCCATTATCGGCAAGCAGGGCCAGCACATCAAACAGCTTTCTCGCTTTGCAGGAGCTTCAATTAAGGTACTGTTTTGCCAACTGTGGCTGTCCTGGTTCTTTAAGCAAATTAGAAAGATAAATCTTTCTTTTTTTTTTCTTTTTCTTTTTTTTAAAGAGAGTGAGAGGGACAGAGAGAGAGAGAGAGAATTTTAACATTTATTCATTTTTTCTTAGTTCTCGGCGGACACAACATCTTCGTTGGTATGTGGTGCTGCTGAGGATCGAACCCGGGCCGCACACATGCTAGGCGAGCGCGCTACCGCTTGAGCCACATCCCCAGCCCCAAGATAAATCTTTCCACTTAATAATTTGAATTGAATGTTAGAGGTAGTCTTGGTTACATAGGGCCTGACAGAAAACCCCAAACAACAGTAGCTTAACCTCCAGACTGATTCGGGAGGCAAGAAATCCAGGGCTGGCTGGTTACTTTGCTCCTCAAAACCTTGGACTTCTAAGCTCCTTCGAGTTCATCTTTGCCAGGTGTGATCTTGGACTCCCATGATCCCAGAAGACATCATTCAGTGCTCAAACAATCTGGTCTGTTGTCCAAGCCAGAAGGGGCAAGTAGGACACAACAAAGCCTTTCTACTAGGGACATTTCCTCAGGATTTGGCCAGATGAAGCTGAAGGGGCATTAGGGAAATAGTGTATATAACTATACTGTGTATAGTTAGCTAAACATTTCATTATTACAGACAGTAGAGTAACAAATATCAGAAGACAGTTAATGTTTCTGCCATAAWATAACAGTGTGTTTTTTGAAGATTCTGTATTTTGACGTGCTAAAACAACATAATATTAAAAAGCTTGATGTATCTATAGTTTTCTTCAGGAAAACATCAGTCAGAGGTTTTATTTTGACTGTTTTATGAACCTTTAAAAATTAATATTAACATACAACATAGTACACTTATCATACAACTCATAAATCCCACTCCTGGATATTTACCCAAGAGAAATGAAAATTTGGGTTTTCACTCACACACATACACACACACACACACACACACACACACACACACACACCACACTATACTTAAGTTATCTATATCATCTTTATTGATAACTGTCCCAAAATAAGAAACCTGGTGAATGGATAAAATGTGGTCCATCTATACAATAAATATTACTAAGCAATGAAAAGAGACTATTGATAAAACAATTTGCAAGGATTCTCATGTATTGTGCTGAGAAGGAAGTCAGTCTCAAAAAGCCACACATTGTATGATTTCATTTATATGATAATTTCACAAAAGGCAGAACTATATAGGGACAGAAAGAAAACAAATCAGTGGCTGCTGGAAGTGAAGGAAGCAGAGAAGGGTTGAGCATAATGAAGATGTTGGAAGAGATTTAGGGGGTGATGGAAAGTGTTCTGTATCTTAATTGTGGTGGTGGATACATGAGTATGCATTTGTCACCTCCTACACCAGGACACCAAAAGACAGAATTTACTATATATAAATTAAATAATTAAAAATCAAAACAAATAGCCCTTATATATTCTTGTATAGCAATAAATAAGTGAGCAAAGGAAAAGACATGGTAAAAGATCAAGTGGTGAAACACCTTTCCTATCCTCCTAGTTTCCTGATTGAGTTAAAAATAAATTCTGACACATTAAAACAACAACAACAACAACAACAACAAAAAACCCTAGTAGATCTGTTTTGGAAAAACTGAAGTGAACATTTCAGAATAAGAATTGGGTATTAGAGGCTCAGTTCTACTTTCTGGCTTTCATGAATGTTTTCTAATGAGGCTGAAAAAATGTTTTTGTTTCTTAAAAGCCTGAAATGCATAATCTGAAAAATTCATCACCATTCCCAATACTTGGTATTGTTTTACATATGGACAAATTTCCATGTACTTTACTTTATTAGGGATGTAATATTTAGTTATTACCAAATTATCATTTGTGTTCATTTACTTTACATTCAGATCATTCCTCGTTTATCCTGCATAAACAGTACAGTGATAAATAAGATATACAGCCTTATTTGTTTAAGCTTATGGAAAGTAGACTTAATGGGTCAGAGGGCATGTGCTTTTTTCAGGCTTTGAAAGAGTATAGCAATTTATATTCTTAACGTAAATGTAAGAGTGCAGTTAGTTAGTCCCAGCCTTCTATCACCAGTATCAATAAACAAAGGTATTTGAAACAAAACAACAAAGCTGGAAAATTGAATACCTTTTTTAAAATAGTGGTTTCCTTAAAGAGTTTTGATTAAAAACAAGTAGTTGTTTGCTTGTTTATTTATAGACTCAAATACCAGTCAGTGCCCTGCATAAAGTAGGTAACAAGAGATGTTAGCTTTATTATGGAGAGAGAACGCAAGGCTTCATTAAAAATAGATATTTTTGATGTAAATTGTGTGGGGAAAGGTCTAGAATGTATCACATAATTGACAGTGATCATCACTGTGGTGCAATTTGGTATTTTTGCTTCCTGTTCCTATATGCAATATTGTTTTTTTGTATTACATAGTTATTTATTGTATTTTGTATAGTAAATGTCAAGCAGTTTTTTTCTTTATTTTTTGATAAGAGGAACTCAGTGGCATTTAACCACTGAAAGCTTCTTAAAATTTTCTTTCTTTTTTTTGAGACAGGGAATTACTAAGTTGCTTAGGGTCTCCCTTGCTAAGTTGCTGAGGCTGACTTTGAACTCATGATCATCCTGCCTCAGTTTCTGGGATTATAGRCAAGTGCCATCATGCCTAACCAGTTCTTTTAAAGTAACTTCTAGCAACTGGTCCCCAAATCCTTTTGTCCTAGGTCTTGGTGGAATGTTGGTTCCTCTCTCTATATAAGTTTCTGCATACTTTCCCGAGTTGGGGCTTTTTGTGTGATTTCATATATTCTGTGAAAATAGAAAAGCCCAAGTTCACCTTTCTCCCACTTAATCAGTGTTTGTTTATTTCATATTTTATTTTAGTGAACATACATGGGGATAATTTACTAATAATCTTTGATTTGTGGACTTAGTAAAAAATGTGTACAAATAGCTTAAGAAAGCAAGACTTCCTTTTATTTAAATTAGGTAAAARGGGCTCAGCAACTCTGAAAGTTATAAAAGAGGATACAGTAGCCTCAAAATATAAGGTGGAAGGTCTCTTGGAAACCCAAGAGGTTCTGATGCAAGCAGATCAAGGGCCACACTTTGCCTATGCTAATAATACCAGTGGTTCTCAATGGAAACAAACCACTGAGTTCATGAGCCAGGTTGCTCAACTTCTCCAGCYTTCCATTTCCCCATTTGTAAGGTAGAGGTCATTCTTCATCAGGGTGTGGGGCAGGTTGGCTGAGAGTCTGAATGTTTAGGTTTACATCAGATAGGCATAGTGTATGTTTATAGTATATAGCAGRAGCTCTAACTGATGAACCCATATTAATCACTGCCTCTCCATAATTTCCTTTCAGAAGGCTTTAAATTCTGCATTTCGGGTCAGTCATGCAAATGTCAAGCTGGTTGGCCTAAGTGTTCTATCAATGACACCTGAAAGTATCATAACCCGTTGGTGATGGGTCTATTACAGATCGCTCCAGCTGAAGCACCAGATGCTAAAGTGAGGATGGTGATTATCACTGGACCACCAGAGGCTCAGTTCAAGGTATATGCCCCCAGACTACAGATGGTAGAAAGAACCATAATGCCGCCTTCTCTCAGAATTCCTGATTTTGAATAAAAAAATCTACTGAGTTAAAAAAAAAAATGGAAATTTCGTGTCTAAGATCAGAATGGAACCACAACTCAATTGTATTTTAAAAATAAACCAAAAGCCTTTAATTTTGAGTTCTGTAATGGTTGTTCCATTTGTTTCCCAAAGGTGATTTGTTCAACACCCTTCTATCATAACGCGAAGGAGAGACCTTAAGAGGAAACTTWGAAACTTTCCTATTAATATATGTGCCTTGGAAATGTGTGCCCAGAGTTTTCTGTCTCCAAGAGGTTCTAATCTTGAATTAAAGTGCCCCACTTTGGCCCCTGGGTTCAATCCCCAGCACCACCAAAAACAAACAAACAAGCAAAAGGTCCCCCTTTCATCTTACTCTGGAATCAACTCTATTACCCCTTGCCCATAGACTCTCCACAATTCACTCTAATCTATGGGATTTTAGAGGCCTGAAGAGCAGGGGCTCTCATAGCATTTGACCTTTGTGAACCACTGCACATGTTTATTGGAGTTTGGGGCCAGAAGGCCTTTCCTTGTATACACAAAGGTAATGTAGCAGGGTGATATAAAGCAGACATGGCAGCCAGTTTGCTGGTCTAAATCCCAGCTCTGGCATTTACCATCTGAAGCCTGGAGCAAGTTATGTCTCTTTGACCAGTTTCTCACTTATAAAATGAAGATAAAAACATTTACAACCTAACGTAGATTAGGTTAAATAATATACAAAGTGCTTAGAATAGTGCTTAAAACTTGAGCAGCACAATATCAGTGTGCTACTGGTAGTGGTATACAGCCAATCCAAGGTGAACCAACTGAGACCATGCCAAATTCACAAATATGAATGTATTTCTAATTTTAAATTTTAATATGGAAGTAGAACAAATTAAAAAATTTAGTATGGAACACCTTGTCTTAGATAAAAGCAACTAAATTCTGTTGTTTATCCAAAACCCATATATCTTGGTCTAACTGACCACTTAGCAGCTGTATAATTGGACAGCCATCTAACTTTAAGCCTTCTTTTCCTTACCTCTAAACTGGCCAGTAACACTGCCTATGTCACATGCATATCGGAAATGTGCCAATCACCCACTGTCTTTTATATATATATATATATATATATATATATATATAAATTTATTTTTGTAGTTGGACACAATATCTTTAATTAATTAATTTTATTTTTTGTGGTGCTGAAGATTGAACCCAGGACCTCGCCCACGCTAGGTGAGCACTCTACCACACCCCAGCCCTCAATCACCCACTTTCACTATCTCCCCCCACCCCCACCCTTTTACAGGTGTGGGTCACTCAGGATTGAACCCAGGACCTCCTGTGTCCTAGGCATTCTACCCACTCCTAGCATCCTATCCCTTTCCCCCATCATTCCTTTGACCTCTCTTTCAGGCCATTTTTTTTTTTTTTAAACTAAAAATCCAAAGCTGTTTTCACTTCATTTACAGAAAGAATAGGAAATAAAGGGGGTGCTTTGAGATGTGAGTACAGTTGGTTCACATTTAGGTGAAGAAATGGACTCCTGCACAGCAGCCTTGTGGTCTAAGCAGCTCATAACTCTGGAATTATGAAAATTACTTTCTATGCTGAACCTTTAGGGTTCTTAATTTTAAATCTTAAAAGGTAAATACAAACATCAGTTATTGCATGTTTCTCCTTAGATTTGAGCTTTTGCTCTTTTAAAACTGAAATTACTATCTTGGAACTACTATGTTTGTATGATGGGAAATTCAAAGTTATTTCCCTGTATCTTGCAATTCCCAGGGTTTACAGTTAAGTTAAATATAACACTGTAAGCTATAATGGTTAAATCTCATTTATGTGATCAGTGATAATTCCAAATGAATGTTGTTTTAGAAGTCTAAGGAATAGTTAACCTAATCCATGTCTTTTCTCATTCGAGAGCTTCTATTTTGGAGGATAGTGTACATTGCTAGTGTCCTTTGATTGTATTAGGTAATATGTACATCTTTGGCCTGCACTTTTGGTGCAGAAATGCTAACCACCTTTTGTTTTTAAGGTTTGCCTGACATCTTGTCAGAGTCGACCAACTCTTGGGACTTTTTCCTTTGGTGTATACCAGAGCAAATTAATGTTTGTACATAACGGAAGTAGTTTCTTATATGTAATAACTAGTTGCATGTGGTAGGAGATATGTTGGTTGTGAATATCAGGAGTGTGCATTAAATTGATTTTGTAGCCTATTTAAARCAGAAATCACCTGGATAACATTGATAAACATGGTTAAATAGAAATATTCCTCTCAGCAGGTTTCTTACTGGCTCATTTAGACATGAGCTTGGCTCTTCATGAACCTGGTGTAGCTGGCTGTGTAGTTTTTTCCAGTCTTTCTTGCTTTTAAAAGGCAATTAATTTCTCATSGTCAGATAAAAAGTTTTACCTTTCAGGATGGGAGAGCAAATAAAATCTGACACAAATTATTCATTAGACTTGCCTATTTTCATCAGAAATATAGCTTATCCTTTTATCATTGAATCATCTCACCCAAGGTGCATGTATTGTCACTCTTTTCGTAATTTGTCTCTTAAACTACTCTCAACAGTCTTCCAAATACAGGTGTATCATTACAAAGGGTTATTCCAGTTGGAGCTAGGCCAACTTAAAGGGTAATTGGTTTTATGTATTTCAAACATGAATCAGCTATATTCTCTGATCAGCTATATTCTCACCTATAGGCTCAGGGAAGAATTTATGGAAAAATTAAAGAAGAAAACTTTGTTAGTCCTAAAGAAGAGGTGAAACTTGAAGCTCATATCAGAGTGCCATCCTTTGCTGCTGGCAGAGTTATTGGAAAAGGAGGCAAAACGGCAAGTACTTCAGCAAAACCTGTGCAGTGGTATGAAAGGGAAAGCATTGAAAGGTACTTGGGAGTTCCAATCCCTGAATTTTGGCTAATTTATAAAAAGCAGGACCAYCTTGACCAAGGTTTGGATAAGAGTGCCTATTGTACTTGAATGTGGATGTTGGATACTAGTGAAAGTAATATATCTTTCAGAATACTGTGAGAGGACTGTCCCATATTAGTCAGAGGCATTCAGCATTAATGTTAAGAATGTTAACACTGAACACGAACTGAAAAAATTTCATTTATAAGTTGTACTTTTATAACTGAAAAAAACAAATGATGTCGGTTCTTTTTCTAAGAAATATCCAAAGCTATTTACAAATTGGAAGTAATGGAGAACACACACTTTGGAATCAGATTTTCAGGATTTCAATCTAACTTTGCCATTCACTTGTATAAATGGGCTTAAATCAGTTTTTTTTTTTTCAAATGAGCCTTAGTTCCCATGTTTTAAAACAAAGGCCAGGTACACACCTATAATCCAGTGACTTGGGAGATTAAGGCCAAAGGATTCCAAGTTCTAGGCCAACCTCAGCAACTTAGCAAGACCCTGTCTCAAAATTAAAAAATAATAAGGACTGGGATGTAGCTCAGTTACTAAAATGCCCCCAGAGTCTATACACAGCACAAAATCAAATGAGAGCAAAACAGTTAAGCTCTTGAATCATTAGGATTAAATGAAATTTGTAAAARCTATAGCTCAGTGTTTGGCACACAATAAGTGCTTGGGAATGATACTTTTTTAAAATGCCACTTAAAATCATGTGTATTTGTCTATTTCAGGTGAATGAACTCCAGAATTTGTCAAGTGCTGAAGTTGTTGTCCCCCGTGACCAGACACCTGATGAGAATGACCAAGTGGTTGTCAAAATAACTGGTCACTTTTATGCTTGCCAGGCAAGTGGACTCTAAAATAATGTAATCACTTTTGATTCTCTCAACTGGAAGCAATCCTCCATGAGTATACCACACAAAAATGATTGATGTTTAACACATTTGTGTTATTTTTTTTGGGGGGAGAGGGGGGTCTTGCTGTGTTGCCCAGGTTGTCCTCAAACTGTTGGGCTCAAATGATCCTTCTGCCTCAGCCTCTCTTGTTGCTTGCACCTAGTTGATGCTTAACACTTTTAGTCTTCCTTTTGGCAGATGATTTCAGAGATGACTAGCAAACTGATTAGGATATATTTCTAATAAGCAAATGTGTTCTAATCCTAATTAGAAAAAGGTATGCTCCATGTTTGTATAGAGAGGTCAAATTAAAAAGAACCAAAAAAAAAATGCATTTTATTTGAAGTTGCTGAAACAGTAAAGTAACTTTCTATCAGGTAGATTTTTTAAGCTGTCTTTTTTGCAGGTTGCCCAGAGAAAAATTCAGGAAATTCTGACTCAGGTAAAGCAGCACCAACAGCAAAAAGCTCTGCAGTGTGGACCACCTCAGTCAAGGCGGAAGTAAAGGCTCAGGAAACAGCCCACCACAGAGGCAGATGCCAAACCAAAGACAGATTGCTTAACCAACAGACGGGCGCTGACCCCATCCAGAATCACATGCACAAGTTTTTACCTAGCCAGTTGTTTCTGAGGACCAGGCAACTTTTGAACTCCTGTCTCTGTGAGAATGTATACTTTATGCTCTCTGAAATGTATAACACCCAGCTTTAAAAAAAAATAATAAAATTTAAAAAAAAGTAAATGGGGGAGGGAGGGAAAGAGAAGAGCTCTGCACTTCCCTTTGTTGGAGTTTCACAGCATAACAAATTTTCTAATTTTTCTTAAATATTCCCCCATAATGCCAGAAATTCGCTTGAAAGGTACATGTGCTAAATTCATCAAATTAATTAAAATAGATTGCTCCTAAATCCAGTTGTTAAAATTGGATCAGAATAGGGTTATCACAGGAACTTAAATGTTAAGCCATTAGCATAGAAAACCTTTTTATTTTTATCTAACACTAACATGAATAACCTAAGGGAAGTGCTGAATGGTGTTGGCAGGGGTATTAAATGTGCATTTTTACTCAACTACCTCAGGTATTCAGTAATACAGTAAAAAACAAAATTGTTCCTTTTTTGAAAATTTTATATACTTTATAAAGAAAAGTCCAACCATTTTTTTAAAAAATTAAAATTCAACAGCTATTAGTGAACAGGAAAATAATTGAGAATGGAATTTTACTTCTGGCTAGTGACAGTAAAGCTGGAAAATTAATTTTAGGAGTTTTTTTTTTTTTTTTTTTGAGGCTTTTGACAGTTATTAGTTGGAAAATCCAGTAAATATTCAAARATATGGAGCAGTGCCTATATTTGGAGAGCAGCAATACCATTTATTCCTTTGTTTATAGTTGGGAGGTTTTTGATGGTACTAACAGAGCAATGTGGTGACAGGAGGTTTTGGAATGGCTAGTTTAAATGGCTTCAGGAGACTTCAGGTTTTTGTTTAGCTACATGACTGAATGCATAAATGCTTTGTGCTTTTGACTATCACTACCTAAAGAAAGTGCGTCAACAAAAAAATGCAAAACTTTGAAAGGTTTTTTAAAAAAATAAATAAGTAAATAACAAAAAACAAGCTCCAGCTTGTCTTATAGGATGTTTAGTTTGCCAATACACTTCAGACCGATCGGTCTACGCTTTAAGCAGACTCCTAAAGAACTGCTTTGCGAAGACCAATGAGACAGATGGTGTGACAGTGTCTAAAAGCAACAAATGGGCTACATCTCCTTATGCCTGGCGCTGTCATGATCCTCACTAAGCTGTTTTGAAGATTTTTAAGCAATGGATTAAAAAAAAAAAACTAAAATATTAAATAGAATATAGCAGATTTTCTGTGTAATCTGCAACCAGTTATTTGAAAATAAGTCAAAAGGTAGAGAATGCAAGAAAATAGTTTTGGGAATATAATTTGAATGACTGTGAAAACATCTGGCCTTTGATAATGAAATTGTTTGCCCATTCCTTAACTCAATGGCAAAGCCCAGTGATGTACAATTGTGTGGGTATGGGTGGTCTCTAGGCCACGCTGCTCTCTAAATTTTTGTGTTGCTTTTGTTCATGAGATGATCACAGTCATCATGTTATTATAATCTGAAAGGCATTACATAACCCTTTAAGAATCATTTTGCCTCGTTCATAATTCAAGATGAATTTCTACATGCTTAGGTAAATTTTTCTGAAGATTAGCAATATCATATTAGACCTGAMAATGATTTAAAATGTTTTCCTAAATATTTCAGAAAAACAGTTAATTTTGTAGTTTTTAGCAAAAAAGTGCCCTTTTTGTCACTGAATTCACCTAGCATTCATTTTTTTTTTTAATACAATGAATTTAAACTGCTAAAAATCAGACTGGCTTTTGGTTGGATTTCAGGTGAGATGTGTTTAAGGCCAGAGTTCAATATTTGATTTTTCTAGTATTTTTCTTTTTTTAATTCAGATAGGTGCTGCATTTATATCTGCTGGTTTAAATTCTGCCATATTTCACTTCTAGCCTTTTAGTGTGGCAAATCATGTTTTACTTTCACTTAAGCATTTGTAATTTGGAGTATCTGGTACTAGCTAAGAAATAATTCTATAATTGAGTTTTGTATTCCCCATGTATGGATCATTCCTCATCTATAATGTGCCCCAAATGCAGCTTCATTTTCCAGATACCTTGATGCAGAATAAAGTTTTTCATCATTAGATACAGCCTGTTGTGTAATGTTTCCAGGTGAATGTGAATGTTTTATATTTAGTCTACAAACTTGGATTTTTAGTAACAGAATGTTGGTTTCAAAATAGGCACCAATACTTGTAGATTTTACTCTCATCCATGGCACATTAATGTGAACACTGATTAGACTACTACATACAAATTAGTGACTACAGGTTCCAAGRGTTTTTCTTAATACATTCTGTGAAAGCTGTAGAAGTCCTATACTAAAAGAATATTCTGTGGTATTTACTACTACTATTATCACCTCAAGGTCAGTGAATGGTGATGTACTTTTGTGTTAACAAAAACACTTTGGCCACTCCATAAGACTTCCATTTAAGGAAAATTAATAAAAATCTGAGCAGAGTCTCAACACAGGGACCAATGCTAAAAACTCAGGAAATTTTGGTTTGGTAGCTGATCAGGATAGACAACTTGTTTTGATTTGATTGTATCAGCAATTCACATCATAAACAACCATGAGGGTAGATAAGATTTGTTCTAACAAGGAGGTGCAATTTAGGAACTGCTTTCCAAGAACTGACAATCCAATTCATCTGACTCAAAGCAATCTTAAGTTTATTCACATTTGAACTCCACTGGAGTTAGGGATGAAGTATCATCTTCTATTCCAATAATGAAGTCTTCAGGTAATGTCTCAGGTGCTATCTGAGCTAACTGGTCATCATAAGAACGTAGRGTCCATAATTTCTCTAATTCATAGGTTTCTCTGGTTTCTGGAAGCATCAAATGAATCACCATGCTGCCTATCAGAGACAGATAAGAATTAATGAAGAAAACAATTGGTTTACTCTTGACTCTCAACTCTAAGTTTAGGATCTAGGAACTAGAGCAGTGGTTATCAAAGTGTGGTTTCCCAGATTAGCATCACCCAGGAGCTTTTTAGATAGGCAAATTGCAGACCTCAATCCAGCAAAACATACCACAGAAATGATGCTGTGTGTTCCTTACTGCATCCATCATATAAAGAGGTACATGATGTCAATATGTAAACTTCTGATGGAAATGATCTGTCAGGTTTCTCATAGGAAACAATTCTCCTTAAATATTTCTGAAAGTACTCACTGCCTTTGGCTCTAGACTGTCTTTCCAAGGCTGTTTATATAGTGCATTGTCTTATTGGAAAGACAGAATTTCCCTCCAGAACAGAGGACAGCAGTGGTTCTCGGGGGCATTATGGGCAATGTCTAGGGACACTGATTGCCACAATTGGGGAGGATACTGCTAAATAGCCTCTGATATACAAGATAATCGCCCAGACTCAACAAAATTACCCAATCTAAAATATTAATGGTGATAAACATAATATTTTACTTTCTGTGAAGGCTGTAGAAGTGCTATACTAAAAGAATATCCTGTGGTATTTACTACTGCCTTCTATCACCTCAAAAGTTATAGGGTCCACGAATGGTGATATACTTTTGTGTTATTAAAAATAAATATTTTGGCYATTCATTACATAGAATAAAACTTGCATTTAAGCAAAATTAACAAAAATCAAAGTCAACACAGGACCAATGCTAAAACTACAGGAAATTCTGCTGCGACCTCAGGGATAGACAGCTTGTATTTGCTTTGATTATATTGACAATTCCTACACATCAGTCATCATGAACACCCATGAAGTTCTAGCCAAGCAAGCCCACTTCCTCCATGTTATAAACATCATCTTAATAATCTCAGAGCTCCTCTTAAAACTCTGTACGTGTGTCATCTGGCCCCTCTGTTGTCCTAGGAGATCGGGGCTCAAAGACCAAGTACAAAATTGATGATGCTGGTTACCGCTACTGCTGCTAACTGTCCTAACTCCAAAAGAGTCTTATGTTTTCTACCAGTACCTATGACAATGGAAGGACAACTTACAAGCTTGCAAGTAGGATAAAATTTCAGACCCCTCAGTTCTTGATATTTTCTCTAACTTCTTGTTGGGAGCTGTTCTGAAGCTATACTCACTACTACAACCTGGTATCTTTTTAAAATTCCAGCCTTGTGCTCTCATTTGAGTTATTTATGGCCAAGCCTTCCTCTGCTACCATTAAAGGATCTCCTCTACTTCTGTGTCTATAGTTATCCTTCCAGACCTGAGTGACTAGTTACATATACACCATACAGTATGTCTCCCTCCAAGAGTGTCTCATCTAGCGTACTTTTGTTAGATATAAGACTTCACATGTGAAAAAGACCATGTGAGTTATAACAGAACTTTTATTACTTGAAAAAAATTTCAAAAATCTTACTTGGAAATGCACTCAGCAATTTTATCTCAATCCTTTTGTAGCTAAAATCAACTCAATATTAAACAATATCAATACTTATCTGTAAAATATGCCCAAATAACTTACCAAAATCCACACAAAGCCAGTCATCAGTATCCTTCCCTTCGATCTTAACATAAGGCTCACTTTTACGTTTCAGGTGTTTGTACTGAAAGAAAGTCAGTCCATATATTAAAAGGAGGGAAGAGGTCTTTGCTCTTACTGAGGATCCAGTAGCATTTGTCTGGCCTGAATTTGAAAACTAGCTTACTAGTTTTGGTACTTTGCCCCAATATTAATGGTTTAGGGAAAATATCTCCCTCCTATCTTCTCTATACCTCTTTGCCAAATCCTCCTGTGTAAGTCCTGAGAGGACCACCCTATTCATTCACCAAGGTGCCCACTCAACATTTGGTCCTCATCTGTATCATCCCTTATATCCAATATGCCTTTTCTTCACTCTCAGGGAAGACAGATGTCACTTTCCTATTTTAAGGCAAGATCTCGGTGCTATTGATTTAATTTCATCTGGCTTCAGGACATGTTTAGGGAACTTCATCATCCATGTGTCTATTCTCAATACAGCTATTTTGTCTGATATTAGTGTAAATCAAAACATATTACCAAAGACAAATGACATTACATAAGGTCAAAGGGTTTAACTTACCCAGAAGATGTAACAATTATAACATCAGAGCT